TCCCTCAATGAAATGCTTAGTTCCCCACATAATTACCTTGGAATGAATTTCACTGACTGATAAACACCATTCAACCTCACAGAGATTTTCACCTGATATTTGGTGACTCATTTTATTTTTGAGAATTTTACGTTTTTAAAAGTAATCTCAGCGCCCAACATGAAGCTTGAACCCATGACCCTGAGATAAAGACTGGTGTGCTCTACGGACCGAGCCAGCCAGGCACCCCTAGTGATCCATGAATGTGAATGGACTTCAAAAAATTATGTGTCGTATCATCAGCGAGTAGAGAAGACTTTTGCATTTAAAAAAACAATGGAAAAAGCAAAGGGGGGAATCAAACCAAGAATAAACTAGGGTTCTTGAAAAGTAACATTAACAGACCAAAAAACATGTTAAATAACACAACATTTGGAACATGAGGAGAACTCTCAGAAAGTAAAACCAAGAGATAACCAGATTGAAGAGAGGAAAGATAAGAAAATTGGAGGGTATATCTAGGATATCCAGCATCCAAATAGTCAGAGTTCCAAAGAGAGGAAAACGGAGAAAACACAGGGGAGGCAATATTTAAGGAAATAACACAAAAATAAAAATTCTCGGAACTGAAATCATGAGTTTCCTTGACTGAATTCACCACATGCTCAACACAGCCAATGATGAAAAGACCCACATCAAGGCAAATTATTGTGAAATTTCATAATACCATGGATAAAGGGAAGATATTGAAAGCTTCCAGAAAGGAAAAAATGAAAAACAAAAACAAAAACAAGACGTGTAAGGGATCAGGTTATAGGATGGCACTGGATTTCTCAACACTCAGTTCTGGAAGCTGATTTACACCCTAGAATTCTATACCCAGCCAAACTATTAACCAAGTGTGGGCTTTCCAGCAGCAACACTGAAAACTAGAAGCCAAAGAAGCAATGTTTTCAACATTCTGACCAAAATACTGATTTGCAATGTAGAGTTTATGTCCAGCCAAATCACAATCTATCAGAGGCTCTAAGGGCGTTTTTAAAACACAGATTTCTTCCACATTTGCTTTCCATCTTTCCCGTCTCAGGATGCTACAACAGGGAGTGTTCTGCTAAAAGGAGGGAGTCAACCAGGGAAGAGGCAGACCCGGATCCACAAAGAAGATAATCCTGTGGTGGAAAAAGAGAAGGGATCCCCAAGAGCGTGGATGGCAGTCGTGGCCTGGATACCTCGCTCCCTCTCATCCTGCCGTCAAGGCCCCACCTTACGGTGGCTGGCACTGTGGCTCCCCTGACAGCTGACTGACTCTCCATCAAGCCCCATCTGCTTCCTGAGCCTCCCCACCGCAGCTCCTGAGCCCGCTTCCTCCCAGACCCCTCACCGGGCAATGGAAACTTCTGGAGCCGTCTGGTGCTGCCTTCTGCCATCCAGGCGTGAACGCCCCGCCCCGGTCACCTCTTCTTTCAAACAGGATAATAATCACGGCGCTGAAGTCACAAGGTCACGGTGAGGACGGAGCGAGTGGATGTTTCCGAAGCAAGAAGCACGTAGAACGGCACCTGACGCGGGGTGACGCAACACTGGCGTCTGTTAAGTGAAATACGTTACGGAACGACGTGAAGGTCAACCTGTAGTAGATTGGAAACACATCAGTTTAAACTTCAGCCGCGGCTGAGGTGAATTCGTCCTCCCCTCGTGGTCACGTACACCTGAACGCTCCCAAACTGGAGGCTTTTGCACTCACGATGCCAGTACAAGTCTGACCACATCGCTTCCTGCTGATCGCGACTGAGCGACGCCTCACCCGAAGGGAGGAAGAAGCTGGAGTCTTGTCCTCAGCCCACGAGCCTGGCTCGGCTGTCCTCTGTAGAGTCACCTGGACTCAGCCCTCCCTTGCCAACCATCCTCCCGCTGCCTCAGCCAGCAACTCGTGAGCTGTGCTCCCTCCCGCCTCCAGACCTTCAACCATGCTGTTCCCTCTGCCTGGACTGCTCTTCCCCATACCTCCCCTTTCTCCTTTAGCTGCTTCCTACTTAACCCCTTGGATCTTAACCGGGTCATCCTTTCTGCTGAGAAGCCTTCCCGGGACCCAAAGGCGGTTAGATATCCCAGGGTACGTTCTCCTGGTGCCTGGGGTATGTTTAATTCTTCTTCTTCTTTTTTTTTTAATTTATTGTTGAGAGAGAGAGAGAGAGAGAGAGAGAGCGAGCGCAAGTGGGG